CGCCACAGCGCGGGCCCCTGAACTGTTTCATACATTGTTACTTCACATACCTGTTTTTTTTTTTCCCTAAACTTTTATTTGTTTGCAAGGCAGAGCGAGACAGACAGCCCTCATCCCCAGATGTCCGCAGTAGCTGGGAGTGGGCTGCGGCGCAGCCAGGAGCCTGGGGCTCAGTTCCCCCTTGTGAGTGGCAGGGACCCGCCCCCAGGGGCTGTCATCAAAGCCTGCCGCGTCTACACTAGCAGGAAGCTGCAGCTGTCAGGCCAGGCGCTGCGTGGACGCGGGACGTGGGACGTGGACCGTGGACGTGGGTGTCGAGCACCTGCCCCCTGGTCTGCTTTGAGTTAGCTGTGTTTCCCGCGTGGCTGGGAGAGGCAGGGCGGGAGCCTGTGCGCCCTCACCCAGACTCTCCCACGAGACGCATCCTGTTAAGGGACAGCGACAGCACAGCCAGGTGCCGGCTGGCTCGCTTCTCTCTCCCTTTCTTTCTTTACCTCTTTCTTTTCTTCAGATTTATTTATTTGAAAGGCAGACAGAAAGAGAGAGAGAGAGAGAGAGAGAGAGAGAGGATCCATTTTCCATCCATTTGTTCGCTCCCCAGATGGCTGCACCAGCCAGCTCGGAGCCCCGCCAGTCCCCGGGCCCCAGCCAGGCACTGCATCCCGGTCTCCGGGCAGAGGGCAGGGGCCGGGCACGTGGGCCGCCCTCACCCCCTCAAGCGCATTAGCAGGGACTGGATGGCGAGCGGAGCGGCCGGGCTCAGCCAGTGTGGGCTCAGCTCCAGCGTGGGACGCGGGCAGCACAGGCCAGCCCTCTGGGTCCCGTGGGCACCCACAGAGCCGTGGCCCCGGGGGCCTGGCGGGCTTGCGGCACTTAGGGAAACAGGTCTGATGGTTCCGACAGTCCGCTCTCTGCTGGGCTCCAGCAAAGGCGGAACAGCCCTCGCGTGGGGGACACTGTCCTGGCCGCTGGCCCCGGGCTCGGGACGGCCCCTCACGCCCGTCTCCCGTCTCCCCCAGAAATTTCCAAGCGGGAGGAGGTGGAGGCGGTGACGATCGTGGAGACGCCGCCGCTGGTGGTGGTGGGCGTGGTGGGCTACGTGGCCACGCCTCGCGGCCTGCGCAGCTTCAAGACGGTCTTCGCAGAGCACCTCAGCGACGAGTGCCGCCGCCGCTTCTACCGGGACTGGTGAGGGCCGCCCCGGGGGACGGGCAGCGGGAGCAGCGGGCGGGGGCCGGCACCGCGTGGTGCTGCCTCCACGGAGAGGAAATCGTGAGGGGTCGGGGGAAGAGGGAGCAAAAATATTCTGATGCTCAGGTTTAGTTACAGGGCTGAGTGGCTGGGATGTCAGAGCTGGCGCTGAGCTTCCTAGCAGCCAGGGTGAAAAGGGAAGCTCTTGGCCGGCGCCACGGCTCACTAGGCTAATCCTCCGCCTAGCGGCGCCGGCACACCGGGTTCTAGTCCCGGTCGGGGCGCCGGATTCTGTCCCGGTTGCCCCTCTTCCAGGCCAGCTCTCTGCTGTGGCCTGGGAGTGCAGTGGAGGATGGCCCAGGTGCTTGGGCCCTGCACCCCATGAGAGATCAGGATAAGTACCTGGCTCCTGGCTCCTGCCATCAGATCAGCGCGGTGCGCCTGCCGCGGCGGCCATTGGAGGGTGAACCAATGGCAAAGGAAGACCTTTCTCTCTGTCTCTCTCTCTCACTGTCCACTCTGCCTGTCAAAAAAATAAATAAATAAAATAAAAAAAAAAAAAAAGGAAGCTCTTGTAAACAGAGACGTCTTCTCAGGCCTCGGATTTTCCAGAATGAGATGGTACACCAGCAAGGGGAGCCTCACCGAGGCTTTGGCACAGCCGGGCCCTGAGCCTCCGTGGGAGGTGACCCCTGGCTGACCCCTGCTGTAGATGGGGTAGGGGCTGCAGTGAGGGCGAGGTGAGCAGCCTGCAGGTCAGCTGCCGTCCTGGTCGGCTTCTGTTCTCTCGCGGCCCCCATCCGGGCGCCAGCCTCCCACCACTCACATGGAGGAGCTGGACTGAGTCCAGTGAGGGTCCCCAGAGTGCCCCACACGTAGGGCCAGCGGTGGGGCAAGGTGGCCGGCAGGCTGGGACCCCTGAGCCTCCACAGCACCTGCCACGCACCCTCAGGTCCCGGGAGCCAGGGAGGACCCACTCTGCAGAGGGGGAGACCGAGGCGGGAGAGGGAGGGGCCATCGTTCAGTGAGGACCACTGGAGTGGCCGGGGCTGGCAGGGAGGGCCCGGCCCTGGAGGCCGGCTGCGGGCCGGGGCGGGTGGGAGCTGTCCCTGCGTGTGGCTCAGGCACAGGAGCAAGAAGAAGGCCTTCACCAAGGCCTGCAGGAGGTGGCGCGACGCTGACGGCAAACGGCAGCTGCAGAGGGACTTCGCGGCCATGAAGAAGTACTGCAAAGTCATCCGTGTCATCGTGCACACGCAGGTCAGCCTAAAAATACCGCAGGGCCCGGGCACAGGCCCAGGCCGGCCGGGCGGCCTCGCCGGGCACCCGGGCAGGGAATGTGAGCTACCGGCGCCCTCCCAGCGGCTCTGGGGCAGTGGGGCAGCAGCCAGGCGGTCAGCCGAGGCTCTGAAACGGCCAGACAGGCCTGGGTCTCCCGCCGAGAGTCCACAGGGTGTGGCCGGATGTGGGCGGGTGGTGACGGGCACCTTGCCCTCTGGGCAGGCTTCCGCAGGCCCTGGTGCCCGAGCGCCCCCCAGCCCGCCCCGAGCCTCCCTCGTGGGTCGCGTCCAGCCTGTGCCCCACACAGCATCGCCCGGCGCCTGCTCATCACCGTCTTCCCGGAGAGGCCCTTCCAGCCCCGCCCCGCCCCGCTCCCTGAGAGTCCCCCGACGTCTGTGTGTCCCCCGACCCTGACCACGGCTCCCTGAGGCGTGGGGCAGACTTGGGGGGAGCCCGCTGGCCAGGCTGTCCCCGGACCCGGCCGTGTCCTGCAGATGAAGCTGCTGCCCTTCCGGCAGAAGAAGGCCCACATCATGGAGATCCAGCTGAACGGGGGCACCGTGGCCGAGAAGGTGGCCTGGGCCCAGGCCCGGCTGGAGAAGCAGGTGCCCGTGCACAGCGTCTTCAGCCAGAGCGAGGTCATCGACGTCATCGCCGTCACCAAGGGCCGGGGTGTCAAAGGTACGGGGAGGGGCGTGGGGAAGGCTGCCTGGAAGCAGGAGGGGGAGGGGCCGCACCTGCCTCCCAGCCCCCTGCGCCGCCCGCCCGCCCGCAGGGGTCACGAGCCGCTGGCACACCAAGAAGCTGCCAAGGAAGACGCACAAGGGGCTGCGCAAGGTGGCCTGCATCGGCGCCTGGCACCCGGCCCGCGTGGGCTGCTCCATCGCCCGGGCGGGGCAGAAGGGTTACCACCACCGCACGGAGCTCAACAAGAAGGTGGGTCCCGGCCGCGGGCGGGGTGTGCCGGTGCACCGCGTCTGGCCCACAGCACGCTCTGTGCCCGACAGATCTACCGCATCGGCCGGGGGCTGCACTCGCAGGACGGGAAGATGGTCAAGAACAACGCGTCCACCAGCTACGACGTGACGGACAAGTCCATCACACCGCTGGTGAGGGGCAGCCAGCTGGCGGGGGCCCCAGGGCTTGAGCTGCACAATGGGTGCTGCCCACGCAGGCAGCGGGGGCACAAGGCCCCGCTGGGGGCCTGGTGGGCCCTGTCCTCTGGCTGCAGCCACCCCTGTGGACAAAAGGCCCCCCAAGGTCGCTGGGAATAGGAGCCCAGCTCCAGCGCCCAGACCAAGGGACTCCAGCTCTGAGCCTCAGTTTCCCACGGTGACGTGCAGCTGTCCAATGGGATAAGGCAGGGATGGGGCGCCCCCCCACCTCCCAGGGCTCGGAGCCACAGCTGTCAGGAAGCCCCATCCCTGGCGGTCCCTGACCGGTACCCCTCCCCTCCCGCCCTCAACAGGGTGGCTTCCCTCACTACGGCGAAGTCAACAACGACTTCGTCATGCTGAAGGGCTGCATCGCAGGCACCAAGAAGCGGGTCATCACGCTGAGGAAGGTGGGCGCGGCCAGCCGGCTCCAGGGCGGAGGGCGGAGGGCGGGGCTGGCGCCGCCCAGAGCGGGCGAGGGTGGGGGGCTCCGGCGCTGACGCCCCGTCCCCCGCGACCCCCAGTCCCTCCTGGTGCACCACAGCCGCAGGGCCCTGGAGAACATCGAGCTCAAGTTCATCGACACCACTTCCAAGTTCGGGCACGGCCGCTTCCAGACAGCCCAGGAGAAGAGGGCCTTCATGGTGAGCCCGGCGCTGACCCCACGGCCCCCTGCGGAGGCTGCCCGGGACCCCCGGCCGCTCGGGGTGCCTGACCTCCTCCCGCTCCTCCCCCAGGGTCCCCAGAAGAAGCATCTCGAGAAGGAGAAGCCGGAGGCCGCGGGAGACCTGTAGGCTGCCTGGGCTGGACGCAGCCCCGCCTGCCCCTCGTGTCTAATAAATGCCGGACACAACTCTCCCCTCGGAGTCTCAGGACGTCCAGGGCCCGCGCGGGCCGGGGCGGGGGGCGGGGGCTCAGCGACGGCGAGGCAGCTCTCCGGGCGCGCCGCCACGCCCTGTCCGGCCCCCGGCACCCGAGCGCCAGCCGGCTGCCCCCGCGGCCCAGCAGCGGCCCCGGGCGCTCGGGGAAGGGCGGGCCCACGGGGCCGCGGGAGGCGGGGCTGCAGGGAAGCGGCTCAGGATTGGTTCTTGGGAGCCACCAGTGGGCGGGGCTGGCTGAGAAGACGGGACAGGACTGCTTCCCGGAAAGGGGCGGAGCCTCCAGGAGGCGGAAGCCAGAACCCTTCGGCTGGGGAGGGAGGGCCCCGCGGGAAGGGGCGGGGTCTCTGCACTGATTGGTCAGCCTAGGGGGCGGGGAGCTCGGGGTCGGAGGTCGAGGAGCGATTGGTCCTCAGGAGGGGCGGGGCGGCGGGGCGGGCTCCGAGCGGGTCTGGTGGGCGGCCTGGGGTCGCCGGGGGCAGTGAGCGTGCAGCGGCCGGCGGCGCCATGTCGTTCTGCAGCTTCTTCGGCGGCGAGGTTTTCCAGAACCACTTCCAGCCAGGTTCGGCCTGCAGCCCCGTGCTGGGGGCCCGCGAGCGCGTGGAGCCGGGGCCGGCGTCCTGGGGGAAGTGGCTGCCCCAGGGGGACACCGTGCGGCTGCCGGGGGTCCGGAGGGGCGCTACGGGACGGCGTGCCCGGGCTGCTTCCGGCGCGGGGCCGCCCCTTAGCGGGGCACCCCTCGAGTCCGGCGTGTGCGGGACTCGAGTGACCCAGCGGGGAGCGTCCGGCTCGTGTCCGCCGTGCCCGCTCGGGGCCGGGTCATCCTAGCCGATGACCTTCGCCCGTAGCGCCTGGGTGGTTTGGGGCATGGCCCGAGTCCTCTTGACGGCTGGGCTCGCCTGATGTGGACTAATTTGGTAGAAATATGTCGAGGGGCGAGACTGGCCTGGGCCTGCCTGAGATGGTGTCTGGGGAGTCAGCTGTCCAGCTGTCTGGGGCGGCTGGGCTGTGAGACACAGGCTGCTGGGCACCGCCCTCCCCTGAGACCCTTGCGGGTCCCCGGTCATCCTCAGGCGGCTCTGCCCAGTGTGAAAGTCCGCTCGCACTTGCCCGCGGCAGCCGCTGGCTCCCGTCCACCCCCGCCGGCCTGTTTCTGAGTCCCTGAAGAAGCCGTCCGGGTGGTGGGTGAGGGCTGACACTGCTCCTGGCGGTTCCTGTTCCGAGTTCTTCCCCCGCAGGGCCCTCGGGAAGGGTGGGGCCCTCGGTGTCCTCCTCAGCTGCCCGGCTTCCTGCCTGGCTGCACACCTCCCGGGGTGTTGAGGCCAGGCAGCGAGACGGGTGTGAAGGTGGTTCCGGCCCGGCGCTGTCTCTCCCTGCAGGGCCCCTGCGGCCGTGTGAAGGTGGCTCCCGGTCCCACACCTCCGCCAGGCTCTCGGCCCCGCACCTCCGCCGGTGGGAGCCTGGCGCTGTCTCTCCCTGCAGGGCCTGGGGAGGGGAGCAGGCAGCCCCGTGTGCTGCTGACACCCCTGCTCCTGCCTCCCCCGCCCAGGCATCTACGTTTGCACCAAATGCGGCTACGAGCTGTTCTCCAGCCGCTCCAAGTACGCACACTCGTCGCCGTGGCCAGCGTTCACCGAGACCATCCATGCTGATAGCGTCGCCAAGCAGCCGGAGCACAACCGGCCCGGAGCCCTGAAGGTGGGTGCCGCCCAGGCCTCTGGCCTCAGCCAGGGGAGCTGCCACCCCGGATTGTTTTCATGCGTTTGAAAGGCAGAGCAACAGAAAGAGAGAGAGAGCGAGATCTTCCACGTACTGGTTCACTCCCTAGATGCCCCCAACAGCCAGGGTTGGGCCAGGCCGAAGCCAGGGGCCAGGAACTCTGGGAGTCCTGCATGGGCGCAGGGCCATGGACGTGGGTCATCGTCTGCTGCTTTCCCAGGCCGGCACGAGGAGCTGGGTCAGGAGCAGAGCAGCCAGGGTTCTGACTGACACCGAGATGGGATGTGGTGTCGCAAGCGTGGCTTAACCGCCGTGCCACAGTGCCGGCCCCTCCCCCAGCTCTGGGGAGCAGGACAGACTCCTCGCCTGCATAGACTCCTCTCCCGCTCCCCGTCGGCCTGGGGGAGGAACCGCGAGCCTGGGGCGGTGGCTGTCTCCTGGGCCAGAGCTCACGTGGCTGTCCACGGTCTTCCCAGGTGTCTTGCGGGAAGTGTGGTCACGGGCTGGGCCATGAGTTCCTGAATGACGGCCCCAAGCCCGGGCAGTCCCGGTTCTGAATATTCAGCAGCTCGCTGAAATTCATCCCTAAAGGTAAGCTCGGGTTCTGCGGCTGAGGGCCGGCCCCCGTGCAGGGTCTGGGATGGGGAGCCGCGCTCACCACTCACCCAGTGGTGTAGGGGGCACCGAATCTCTGTCCAGGACTTGCTCAGGACACCCCGAAAGGCCGCTGCAAGGCAGGGTCAGGGGCTTCCCCGGTCCCAAAGAGAGACGTCTGAGGGAGGCTGTGGCAGAGGGTACTTATTTGTGAGGCAGAGTTACAGACAGAGAGAGAGGTCTTCCACCCCCTGGTTCACTCCCCAAAGACCACAACGGCTCAAGCCAGGAGCCAGGAGCCTCTTCTGGGTCTCTCCTGTGGGTGCAGGGGTCCGAGCACCTGGGCCATCTTCTGCTGCCTTCCCAGACCACAGTAGAGAGCTGGATGAGAAGTGGAACAGCTGGGACTTGAACCGGTGCCCAGATGGAATGCTGGTGTTGCAGGCAGAGGCCTAGCCTACTAGGCCACGGCGCTGGCCCGGCAGAGGGGTGGGCAGAGGCTGAGGACCTGGACTGTGAGGCCCCATCTTCCGCTGGTGACCGTGGCGAGGACTCACACGGCGCCTCACGCCGGCCCGTGTCCCGGCAGCACCGGGCAGTGCTCCCATCTCAGAGCAGTGCTGGGGCGCTGCTGGCCCTCGTGAGCTCTCTTGGTGCTGGGCCCCCTCTCAGGCTGCCCTCAGCCTCCCCACGCCCTGCTCCAGCCCCAGTTCCTGCCCTGCTGTTCCCAGGACCATGGAGGCTTTGTCCTGCATCCCCAGTGCTCATTGCCTGTGGGCTCTAAGGGCCTGGCGCATGGCCCATTCTGTTCTCTGTAGAACTCAGGCATCAAGCCCAGCGCACAGACCCCTGGGAGCTGGCCATCAGGGCAGGCACAGGCTGGGTGGTGACTGGCTCTCTCCCTGTTCCCTCCAGGGCGGGCACAGGCTGGGTGGTGACCGGCTCTCTCCCTGCCCCTCTCTTTCAGGCGAGGACTCTTCTGTCTCCCAGGGACACTAGGCAGGCCGCCCACGCTCACCCTCGTGGCCCGTTCCTGTCTGCTGGGCCCAGCTGACAACTGTCCTGGCTGTGGGGGCCCAGCCGTCCTAGCCACGTGGTCAGGAGGCGAGCGCGGCTGAGCTCATCTTTGAAGCTGCCCCACCGTCTCCGTGGCCTGCCGTCCACTCCCTGTGTGTCTGGGCTCACCCCGGAGGGGCCCGTTCCCAGCTGGGCTTTGGGCTTTGCCAGAGCTCCTGCCTATCGCCCCCAGATTGGCCCCCGCCCCGGTCACTGCATGACCCGCTCTGGCTAAACCCTTCCAGGGCAGCCAGGGTGGTGATGGTCCGTGACCTGCGGCGGGCAGGCCCTTGCACCGTCCGCCTCTCGTCTCGCACATGCGCGGTTCAGCCGGCCTCACCTGGGCTGAGCAAAGCCTTGACTGCACCGCTGGGGTGCGCGTTCCCAGGGTGCGGCGACTGTGATGGTGCGAATGCCGTGTGGAGTAACCGGGTGGAAGTGAATAAAGTGGTGCGGCGGGGCGGCCGGAGGCGCTGTCCGGGCGTGGCGTGCTTCCCTTAGTTCTGCGAAGGTGGAGTCCTGTTGAGCTCACTGCTGGGGATGTGGCCATCCTATGTCCTGTGTCCTGTGTGCGCAGGACACCCGGGGCCTGTCCTCAGGGCCTCGCGGCGTGGCTGGGAGCCGTGGGCACCTGCACAGAGCAGCGGCACTGGTGTGTGACGAGGGGCTGCCCTCGGCAGTGACATGGCGGCTGTGGGCACAGCGTGTGCTGCCTCCCTGGGTCCTGGAGGAGCAGCTGTGGCCGCACTCTCGGCACACCTGGGCCGATTCCAGGCAGTGCACGGTGCACCTCGGCAAGCTTGTGGGAAGTGTTTCATGGAAAAACTGTATGGATTCGAGACTTTCGTAGCAAAATTTACCTTTTTATTCCAATATCCGTGAACTTTTTCTTTTCTAAGATTTATTTATTTGAAGGATCTACAGAAAGAGGTCTTCCATCTGCTGGTCCACTCCCCAGGTGGCTGCAGTGGCCAGGGATGAGCCAAGCCAGAGCCAGGAGCTTCCTCTGGGTCTCCCGCGTGGCTGCTGCGGCCCAAACAGCTGGACCATCTTGGGCCGCTTTTCCCAGGCCACAGCGGGGAGCTGGGCACAAACCGGGGCGCACGTGGGATGCTGGGGTCACAGGCAGTGGCTTAGCCTGCGGCACCACGCACCCCCCCCCCCCACTTTTTTTTTCTTCTTAAGACTTGCTTGTTTTGCCGGCGCCGCGGCTCACTAGGCTAATCCTCTGCCTAGCGGCGCTGGCACACCGGGTTCTAGTCCCGGTCGGGGCGCCAGATTCTGTCCCGGTTGCCCCTCTTCCAGGCCAGCTCTCTGCTGTGGCCCGGGAGTGCAGTGGAGGATGGCCCAGGTGCTTGGGCCCTGCACCCCATGGGAGACCAGGAGAAGCACCTGGCTCCTGCCATCAGATCAGCGCGGTGCGCCGGCCGCAACGCGCCGGCCGCGGCGGCCATTGGAGGGTGAACCAACGGCAAGGGAAGACCTTTCTCTCTGTCTCTCTCTCTCACTGTCCACTCTGCCTGTCAAAAAAAAAAAAAAAAAAAAAAAGACTTGCTTGTGTGAAAGGCAGAGTTAGAGAGAGAGAGAGAGATCGGCATCGACCTTGCATCCGCTGGTTCACTCCCCAAGCGACTGCAGGATCCAGGGCCGGGCCAGGCCGAAGCCAGGAGCTGGGAGCTCCATCCAGTCCACCATGTGGGCGTCAGGGCCCAGGTGTGCAAGCCTTCACCTGCGGCCTCTCGGTGTGTCAGCAGGAGGCGGGCAGAGGCAGAGTCAGGGCCCCGGCTGGCAGCTTAACCCAGGTCACAGTGGCTCGTCTCTTGGGGGTCAGAAATTAAAGGGGGTGGGGGTGGGCATTCGGCCTAGCGGTTACGATGCCGCGCGGGACACCTGAACCCTGGGTTGGAGTGCCTGGCTTTGAGCTCTGGCGCCTTGAGTAGCTCACAGAATCCAGGCAGACAGTGTACTCACCACTGCCGATTTATCCAGAGGCTGAACCCTAACCCTAAGCCCTGACCCTCTCCCTTCCCCAGGGAGGCTCTGCCGGGGAGAGGAACCCTCTGTGGAGCTGTGGTGGGCAGGTGGACGCTGGGGCGCTAGCCTGGGGCTGTCTCCCAGGGGCCATTTCCCCAGGGACTCAGCAAAGGACACGCCCCGCCTGGGGGAGGGGTGGACCTGCAGGTACAAGAGGAGGACAGCCCGAGTCCCAGCAGCTCTGCTCTGCACCCCAGACCCCGCCCACCACGCCCTTTCCCCTCCTCAGGCCTCGGTGCTCATTCTGACTTGGAGTTGGTGGCCTTGGCTGCCTCCAGCTCGCTGGGCGACCCTGACCAGAACGCTGCCTCCCTCTGCAGCCGGTCCCCCCTGGGATGTGAGCAGAGAGGAGCCCTCCTGCAGGACGGGCAGGGGGCACCCAGGTGCACGAATTCTGCAGGTCAGATCCCATGCTCCGAGCTGTGCCGGCCACTGGGCCGTGGGTGCAGGGGAGGGTGTGCAGGGCTGGAGGGAGAGGGGCAGGTGGGGAGCAGGCAGCGTGGGACAGCAGCGAGCGGCCGTGTGGAGGAGCCCCACTCAGGAGGGCTCCCTGTGCTTACACCAACCCCACCAGGCCCTGGGTGTGGCAGCCTCAGGGGCCAGGACCCACGGCACCTGCTGCAGGTGCACCCTGATTCCCACTCCCACCTCGCCCTCACCACCCCTCTTCTGCACCCAAAGCTGGCCACCAGCTGCAGAGGAGCCCGGCTTGCAATCTGCCTCTTACGCTCTCCCTAAGCGGCCGGCAGCGGCCGAGAGCCAGCCCAGAGCAGGCGAGCAGTGGCCGGGCACTCTGTTCAGGGGCGTCACCTCCGCCAGCCTGGACACCAGCCTCTGGGGGTAGGAGGGGACACTCAGGGGCCATGCCCTGCCCTGGTGGTCTATCATCCATGGCTTCAGCCCCTGCTTGTGGCCCGTGTGCTGCCCTGCTGGGCCAGTTGCTGGCGGGCCTCACAGTGGCTGCACCAGCCATCAGTGTCACCCATCACTCCCCAGAGGGCGGCAGCTGTGTGCGTGTCTGCCCCTGCTGCTGTGGGGGCCCGGGCTGGATGCCCACCCTGGGGAGGGGGCAGGCTGGGAAAGAGGCAGAGTGGCTGCAGGGGGCTTCTGATGGGGTCAGAACAGCCAGCTCAGGTCGTCTGCCCTGCTGTCCCCTTTCCCTTTCTTCCCCACCCCCAGCAAGAGGCAGTGGCTCTGGGGAGGCCGCAGACCACCCTGTGAGCACAGCCTGCTGGCAGCCGGCACATGGAGCCGGCACGTGGCCAGTGGGAATGCCCAGACCCCAGGGCTGGCTTCGACCTTGGCCTTGGCACACTTCTCCCAGCACTGCGGGCTTCTTCCTGGTCCACTGTGTCCCTGGACTTGGCCCAAGAGCAGACTGGCCTCCTGCGCGCTGGGCTGATGTGTCCAGGCGGCACCCCCGGGCTCAGAGCTGCAGTTGGGCACACAGATGGATCAGTAGGCAGGGCTGGGACGGTGAGACGGGCGGAAGCTGCCTGCACCCCAGGTGCCCCGTGCTCCTTTGCACATCTTTGTGGCAGGAGTGGGTGACTGGGCTGGGGCGGTCCAGTGGGCAGCTGGGAAGATGGGAGTGAGCCTAGGTCACGTTGGAGCCTGGAGCTGGGAGGCTGTGGGCAGGGCCTGGCTGGGGGAGGGGGCGGTATTTCCAGCTTTAGGCCCCCACGCCCCACCCCTCCTGCTGGGTGACCACCACCTCCCTCCGGCCACTCCTGGGGAGCCTGGCCCCTCCTCTCCCGCCTGTGCCCTCTGCCTTGCACGGGCAGGGCAGGTGTTCCGGTAGCTGGCAGGCCCGAGGCCCGGCGGCGTGGTCACCCGTGTGAGGTGGAACATGGAAGAAACGTGCCCTGCCAGCGGCCTGGCGCCTGGCCCAGGGGAGCCGGCAGCAAATGTTCGCAGAACGCATGTGGACTGAAAATGCTCTGGACTTTGGCCTGAGCGACAAGTGCCGGGAGCACAGTGACCCCGGGGGAAGCGTGCCTGACGGTGGGGGGAGGCGGCCGGGAGGGTCAGCGAGGGGCGCTGCCGGCCCAGAGCGCCGGGACCTCCTTCCCAGCCCCCGGCCCTGGCTCAGCCTACCGGCAGGGGTGCGGGCGATAACCAGTGCGCAGGCGCCTGGGGTGGGGGGGCCCGAAGGCGGTGCTGCAGTTCCCCGAGGCGCCGCCGGGGGCGCTGCGGGGGCGGGTTGGACCGGAGCTCCCGGCTGGGTGCCCGCCCGCCCGGGGGCCGCGAGGGATCAGCGCCGGCGTGCCTCGGCCTCACAGCGCATCACGCCAGTGCCAGAGTCGCAGCAGGGTTCCCTGATGGGCGGGGACCGGCTCTGGGCTTCACGAGGTGACCGAAGCCGCGGGAGCAGCTGAGGCTGGAGGCACCTGGATCCGGACAGAGCTGGGGGTGGGCGTGGGTGGAGGCTCCAGGGCAGTGGGGTGGGGCCCCTCCCTGCTGGGCGCTGGCTCTAGGTCCCTGAGGCTGCACCTGCGGGACCCCTCTCCCTGCTCCTAGCCGGTCGCCCCTACCAGGGTCACCTTTCCCATCGGCAGGCCTGGAGCTCTGGCTGGGGGCTCCCACGGTTCTTGTGTTCTGCGGCTGGGCCCAGCTCCGTTTGCTGCCTGGAGGCAGGGCCACAGCCTCCCAGAGGCCAGCCTAGAGGGGTGTCGATGGAGTTGGCCAGTCTGTCTTCCTCGTCCCCTCTCCCTGTGTGTCCCCATACCTGTGGCTGTGCCCCTCCGCACTGCAGGGGCACGGGGGTTTCCACGTCCTTTCCCACTATGGCAGGCGGAAGAGCCCCACACTCCGCGGAGGACACGGGACCTCAGGAGCCTGCCGGCGGATGCTGTGCGGGTGTGCCTGGGCACGGATGGGGAATCTCCCTACGCACCAAAGTGGGGGCCAGGGAGCCCGTTCCGGAGCAAGCCCAGCCTACACAGGGGCAGGACCTCCGTGGAGGGTCCCACTCCAGCCCCTCACTCCCCACCCCTGCACTCGGCTCACAGCCCCGGCCCCTCCTAGACTTCAGGACCCAGGCCACCCCCTTGTCCCGGGGACGATGACTCATCCTGGCAGCCCTGCCCTGCCCCTTGATGCCCCCCCATCCACACACCAGCGGCTCCCGGGCTCAGACCGGAGATCCTGATGCAAAGGGGTGTCTGGCAGCAGCCCCCAGGGGGCCCTGGCTCCAGTTGCCAGCTCCCCCCTCGCCGCTGCTCCACCTCCTGCAGTGCAGCCTGCAAAGTCCTGTTTGGAGACCAGAGGAGACGAGGCAGGAAGCCAGGGCAGGACCACAGCCCACGACCAGTCTACAGGGAGACAGACACTGGGGGCCCCCACCCCAGCAGCCTCCCCTCCCAGTCACCGGAGCCCCCTCCTCAACTCTTCCCCGAGCCTCTTGCCCCTCCCTGGTGGCCAGGGCCAGAGCAGAGTGATGGGTGGTCCTGCGGTCCCTGCATCTGCACCCCCGACTCCTGCAGGGGTCCTGAGACCACGCAGACACTGACCTGTGCACAGCCCTGGGGTCTGCAGAGAGGCCTGCTCCTTGTTGCTGGGGGACAGACTGCAGCCCTGCGGTACACAGGGATCATCTCCAGGGCCTGGGGGGTCCCTGTGGTGCCCGGGGGCCAGGCGTGGCTATGAACGTGGAGGAGTGGGGCGGGGCGAGGCAGGGGCGTCTCCTAAGCCAAGGCAGGCCCACCTTGGGGACACAGGCTACTCTTGCCGGCCCTCCCGCAGCAGAGCTGGGTCTGCCAGTCGAGAGCCTGGCTGCATCGCTGGGCTCTGAGCTGGGTCAGGCTGGAGCCCAGGGACGGCGCCCAGAGCCCAGTTAGGAGTCTTTGGAGAAGCAGGTGTACCCTGGCCGCTGATCTCTCCAGGACACCTGTGGGAGTGGACTGTGGGTAGCCCGGGGGGTCTCCTGCAGGAGAGGGGCCTGGCTCCTGGGAGCCCCCGGCAGCCCCCCAACCCTTGCCCGTCAGTGTCACCTGGAGCCCAGGTTCCAGCCCTGGGGTGGGCGCTGCGGCGGGACACCCCTTGTGCTGTGGTCACTGTGACACGTCCTCTGCCTTCTGATCTTAACCTTCATGGAGTGCTCAGGAGCCGGGCATTCAGGGTGGGGGCTGCTAGCCCTGCCCCACCCCAGTGGCCACCGGGTTCCTCCCCCACCAGCCTGACAGAGAACAGCAGACTCTGGGGGTGGGGGTGAGGGGAGGTCTCTCTTAGGGGCCCCTTCCCTGGAAGGAGCCACAGCCTTTGTGTGTTGGGCCAAATCCAGCAACCGAAGTGGGAAAACCCCACACAAATCAAGCTGGGCCTGCCCTGGCCACGGCCCCTCCCCACCGCTCCCTTTGCAGGCTGTGGGAAAGGTCTGGGGGGTGAGGGTGTGGTCTGAGGTGGGCAGCTCCTGGAGCCCCCCGTGACCCCCCCAGGAGGAACCAGCCACCAGTGTCACCTGTCACTCCCCAGAGGGCGGCAGCTGTGTGCGTGTCTGCCCCTGCTGCTGTGGGGGCCCCAGGCTGGACGCCCACCCTGGGGAGGGAGCAGGCTGGGAAAGAGGCAGAGTGGTGTGGCACTCAGGCCTGCAGCCACAGAAGGGGCCAAGACTGGCCCGCCCACTGCTATTCGGGAGTTCATGGGTAGGTGGAGACAGATGCCAATCAAAACCACGCACAGAGAACCAAGTAGTCTGAAGGGTGGGGCCTGGTTGTGGTCCATGGGGCCAGGCTGGGCCTCCTCCTCGTACCTGGTGCCCCACTGGTGCCCCCGTCCCCTCCTGCTTTGGCCCATGGAGTTGTCTCCCCAGGGGTGTGTTTACCTGGCCAGGCAGCCCCTGCTGCTCAGCCCACGGCCCCCCACCCATTCCCTCCTCCCAGTCCCCTCTCCGAGCCTCATGATGCACCTGCTGGCTAGCTAAGGAGGTGGACACACAGACCACTGCCTGCCCGTCCCACCCAGACTGGCGTCCAGATCAGCTTGGGCTGTGTGTGACTTGCAGCTCAGGACCCTGGGGGGATCCTGTGGCCAGAAGGAACCCACTGGGGCCTGTGTGGCTCAGAGAGGGAGGTCCACAGGGAGAAGCTGGCAGGGGGCTGGAGAGGAGAGGAGGGGGCAGCCCTGTGTGTGGGCAGCAGAGTTTCTGACATCACCAGATCCAGGCTCAGAGCGACTCTTCCCACGGGGCTAGCACCAAGTTCCCGGACAACCCAGCCACAGCACTCCCAGTGTTCTCCCAAGAGAAAGAAACCAAATACACGTCCATGCGTGCGCAGCGGCAGCGCCGACGTGGGGATGGCCTGATGGTCTGCAGCCGGCAAGTAGCAAAACGTGGTCTCTTCTCGCCAAAGGACGTTGTATGGGCCGAGCGGTTGAGCCCTGGGTCCCGACGCCCTGTTCCCATCAGGTGGCGGGCATGGGCCTGAGCCCTGGGTCCCGACGCCCTGTTCCCATCAGGTGGCGGGCATGGGCCTGAGCCCTGGGTCCCGACGCCCTGTTCCCATCAGGTGGCGGGCATGGGCCTGAGCCCTGCCTGGCTCCCAGTCCTGGCCACCGGGGATTGTGGGCTGACTTCTCAGCTGCAGCCTCTGTGGGCATCAGGGAGGGAAGCGGTACAGGGGAGCAAGCTCTCTCCGCCGTCCGCCTGACTGGCCGCCTCTCACGTCCGTGAAAAACAAATACAAATAGAAACAAAGGCGGCGTCGACACCTGCTCCAGCGCAGACGAGCTGGAACACATGGGCAAAGGGACAGGTGGCTGCACAAGCCCTGGAGATGTCCAGGGACCGGGGGAGGGGCCGCGGGCAGTGGGTGATGAAATGTGCTGGGGCTGCTTGTGGATGAGTGCACACCGTTGTGTGTGGTGAACATACTGCAAACCGCAGTTTGAGCTGCTGGGCTGGAGGTATGTGAAGTACAACTCCGGGAAGCTGTTCCAAGAACAGCTTCTTGTTCCAGAACCAGCCGTGGGGGCTCCAGTCCACACAGAGCGGTCTGGTGGCTCAGGGGTGGCCGGCGTCCAAGCCTCCTGGCCCAGCCCCCTCCCCACCCAGAGCTCCGCCCTGCCCAAGCGCCCTGCTGCTGAGCCTGCACCTGGACGTTGCCGCCTCGCCTGTCCACCGCCTCCAGAAAGCCCTCCCGGCCCCTCCCCGACTCCTGTCTGTCCACTGGCTGGCGCGTACCCACTGCCTCCTGCGTGCCGGGTCCTGTGTTAGGTGTGGGAACACCTGCGTAAGCCAACAGCCCCAATGCTGCCATCCCGATTCGCACCCACCCCTCACCCTAGAGCCAGGTGGTGGGAGAGGGGAGGGGCAAGCCCCCAAGCTCTCCAAGCAGACCCCCGATCCTTGGACCCCGCTCCTCCTTGGTGTTCCGCTGTTCTCTGCCAATTCCTCCCGCAACGTTTTCCCCGCCTTCGGCTGGTGAGGGGGACTGAGCAAAAGTCTGCCAGCAGGGGGCGCAGCAGGGCAAGGGCCAGCAGGTGGAGGGGCCTGAGCGGTAGCCCTGAGGCTGGTGCTGCCGGGTGGGGCTGTGCAGCTCTGAGAACCAGCCCGGCTGGAACCAATCCTGGTTTAAGCCAGACCAGAACTTCCTGCGACTCGGTGAGCACCAGCATGCTCACCACACACTGCTGGGCGTACAGCTCACCTCGGGGCTCCTGGCCGAGGCTTGTCCTGACCAGCGGGTGCAGCCCTAGCCTGGTGGGCCTCACCCCAGTGGCCCCAGGTGGTGCTCGCTGTCGGGGCTGCCCCTGAGCGGGAGCTCTGACAATGTTTCCAGTCATGGGTGCCCTCTGTCCCACCGGCAGCCCAGGTGGCTGGGACCCGTCCAGATGCCCGGGGCAGAGCCCAGGGCGGAGGCTGGGAAGGCTGGGCAGGGTCCTCTCTAGGCCCCGGGCGGCGCCAGCTTCACCCCCAGGGAGCGCCTTGCCCCCTGGCTCCCTGCCTTCCTAGCAGGCTGTGCAGGGCAGGCAGGGGCAGCGTTGGAGCTGGGACCTGGGGTCGGGGGGCCTGATCGGGACCCTGCTCCTTCTCCCCCTCCAGCAGAGCCCTCAGGGTTTTCACACCCGGCGTGGGGGCGGCTTCGCCGTCTTCCCATACAGGGCGGTGACCCCTGTCAAACCACCAGGTGGGCCAGGCGGGGCCGACAGAGCAGCCCCCCAAAGGTTCTGGAGGCTCGGGTCTGAGTTCAGCTCACCCCGGGGCGTCCCTGGCCTCTTCCGCCGCCAGAACTAGCCCCCCTGGCCCTGACGATTGGTTTGGCCGCCTCGTTCCCCGCTGCAGACCCCCACTCCGTTCTGGGAAACCTTCCGTGCCCCAGGCTTCCGACCTGGCTCTATCCCCGCTCCGCGAACCAGGCCCGCGAGTCCACGCACTTCTTTGGTCCACCGGGCCCAGCGACCTGGCTGGGCTCCGCCCGCGCACCTGCAGTGCTGGTTCCGGAGGGGTCGCACCGGCAGGTGCGGTGAGGGCGGTCGTGGGGCCCATGCGCAGCCCTGTCACTGCCCCACATCGCCCCCGCACGGGGCTGAAGACCCCCGAACCCAGCGCGCCCGAACCAGGGTCTCCCGGCAGCTGTAGGCAGATTCGAATGGTACCCGCGGCTTCCCGCGTGTCCCAGGCGGGGCCGCAACCCGGGAAGGGGCGGAACGTCTAGGTCCCGCCCACGTCCCCGCCCCGCGCCCCAGTCCGAACGTTCGGACCCCGGGAGCGGAGTAGGAGCCGGGCGCTGGCGACCTGAGCACCGCGCGGGCCGGGATGCGCGCCCGCCTGCGGTCCCCGCTCCCGGCCCTGCGCGCCGTGCGACCCCATGGCAGGTAGCGGCGGCCTAGGCGACGGGGCCGGCGTCGGCCAGGGCGCGGGGGCCGGGCCCGGGCCAGCGCTGCGGGCACCCCGCGGGCCGCTGGTGCTCTGCGCGCTGCTACTCGGCGCTTACTGCCTCTGCGCCCTCCCGGGCCGCTGTCCTCCGGCCGCCCGCGCTCCCGCACCGGCTCCCACGCCCTCCGAGACGCCCCTCGCCGCCCGCCGCCCCGGCGCGCTCGGCTTGCTTAGCGCCAGAGGCCCGGGACGCCGGCGCTTCCCACAGGCGCTCATCGTGGGCGTGAAGAAGGGCGGCACGCGCGCCCTGCTGGAGTTCCTGCGGCTGCACCCCGACGTCCGCGCCCTGGGCTCCGAGCCCCACTTCTTCGACAGGTGCTACGAGCGCGGCCTCGCCTGGTACCGGTGAGCGCCCGCACAGCCCGGCCCGTCCGCCCTGTCTGCCCTGCGCACGGCTGCGGGTGCCGGCCGGGGAGGGCGTGGTGCGCGCGGGGTCTCTCTGGGCACCCAGCTTGCGAGGGCCCCAGGCTTGACCTCTGGGCGGGGCCCTGGGAGGCGGGTGATACCTGGAGCGGGGCTTCCTTTGGGAAGCTTTGGCAAAGCGCGCTAGGTTAGGATGTGCGGAATGGCTCCGCCGGAAGTGGTTCAACCCGCGGCAGGTTGGTGGGAGCCTTGACGCTGGTCCCCGAGTCCTGCCCGCCGGACCACCAGCCTGTTACCTTGGGATGGTCCTGGGCTTCCCTGCAGCTGCTCCAAAGTGTCCTCCTTCCCTCCCCAAGACCTCCCCCGCCCCCCAGCTCCTGGGAGTCTGGGAGGTCTCAGTGGACCGGAAGGGCTGCCCATAGGTGAGTGCCCAGAAGTGGGGTTGGCTCCTGCGCCTCTCCCCCGTGGGCTGGGCGAATGGTGGGCTGTGGGAGTTCTGGGCTGGCTGAAGCAGCCTGTCCTGGTGTCTGGCCCTGAGGCTCTGCCCTCTGCCCCCTCCAGCTGAGCCCATGCCAGGGACGGTGTCCTGTCCCTTCCTGCAGGGCAGTGAGGGCCGCGACCCTCCCACCCCAAGCTGGCTGCAACCCTAAGCTAGAGCTGGGCCCCTGGTGAGCTAATGGGGCATGGGGGACCCGGACTCAGACCGCAGGGACCCCAGTTTCTCGGGGCCAGATTCACCCCCTACTCCCACTTGTTAGATTTGGAGGGCAGGGAGGGACAAGGGACTGGGGGTCTAGGTCCTGAGACCCCAGGAGTTGGTGCTGTGAAGTGAGGGGCCAAGTCCACCCTTGCGTCTCCCAGCTCGGGGCCCAGGGAGACCACTGGCCATTCTGCTCAGAAAGGGGAGGGTGAGCAGAGACGAGAAGGGGCCGGGCCCCCAGCTTTGGCGAGGAGTCGGGGGCAGATCTGCACTGGCCTGAGGAGCTGCAGGGAGGCTGGGACCTGCTTTGCCCTCAAAGGGTTCCCAGAGGGTCCAGGGTGTGCAGGCGTGCCCAGGCCTACCCTGGACATGAGCGGAGTCCAGCTGCCAGGCATCTGTGTGTGGCCACTTACCCGATATGTGCAAACGTTCCTGGGCCTGTGGTGCCCGATCGTCCCATCAACCAATCACAGCTGTGCCCGGGCCTCTGAAAATGCGCACGCTGCCTCAGCCCCCCCCCCCCCCCCCCAGGCAGTGCCGTGTGTCCTCACCACTGGGCTGAGCCTCCTGGCCTGCAGGGCCCTGCGCCGGGCTGGACGCTGGGGGACGGAGGCAGAGGAGCAGCAGCCGGTGCCCTCTGTGGAGTGTTCCCAGGACGCTGTTCTACTGGGCCGCACTGACTTCCTCTGGGCGGAGGCCAGGGTTGACCTCAGCCAAGCCTGTGCCCTCCCCTGGCCTCTGTCGGTGCACTGGTCAGGATTTGGAGGCCCTGGGCCTGGAGACTGCGGCTCCTGAAGACCCTCAGACTCAGCGTTGGTTCACCCATTCATTGAGCGCCTTCTGGGTTTTTGTTTGTTTTGAGATCTATTTATTTCAAAGGCAGAGCGAGGGAGAGACGGAGACAGTGAGATCTGCCATTTGCTGGCCCACTCCCCAGCTGGCTGGCTGCAGTGGCCAGGACTGGGAACTCCCTCCGGTGGCAGGGACTGGAGCAGTTGGGCTCCTTCCCCAGGTGCCGAGTAGCCGGATGGGGGCGGAGTGGCCAGGAGTCTGACTGACGTGGGAGCTGAGCCGCAGCACTGTTTGCCAGGGTCTCAACCCCGGGGTCTCAGGCCGGGAGGGGCCCATTTGGGGGTGGGGGTGATACTTCAACCATGATATTTTGGAAGGGTACCAGGAGGTGAGGAGGGGTGCAGGAGAGGGACCCCCTTTATTTCCTGGAAGCAAGAGCAGCAGGTGCGGGGAACAGGGTCTGGCCATGCAGGGGGAGGGGCCCAGGCTCCTGCGGCTGGGGTGGTGACTCCTGGCTCCCGGCACTCTGAAACCAGGAGAACCACACCCAGCTCTGCTGGGTGGGGCCCAGGCCAGGTGTGGGGTGCAAGGGACAAGGAGACAGAACAGGGGAGTGGCCGGGGGCCAGATGGGAGTCAGGAGGGGCTACAGTGTAGGGGTGAGCGTCCTGTCCCCCTCATCTCCCTGCATGTCTGCAGCTCCCCCCAGCGCCAGTCCCCACTGTCTGTACCAGGGCTGGGACAGGCGGGGAAGGAACCACCCAGGAGCTCGCTCTCGGAGCGGCCTGTGGCAGCCGTGGGCCCAGGGTCCCGCCCCCTCCTCCCCTGCAAGGTGCCCTCTGCTCCTCTGCCTTCCCCAGAGAGAAGGCGCTGGGTCTCCTAGCAGGAACGCAGGGGCTGGGGGTGCTCAGAACCAGGGTCCAGTGTGGGAAAGGAAGGCCACCTCCTTCCCTGTGAGGGCAGAGGGGACGGCTGGTGCCCCTGACCAGACCTGGGGTCCCACTCCCAACACCCACGCCAGCCTCTGTGGGTCCCAGCACTGAGGTCCAGTCAGGGGCTCCCCTAATCGTGCCTGCCTGTCTGGGGAGGGGCCCTGGGCTGGCCCTGTGGGTCTGTGAATTCAGCCCCCACCCCACCCCACGGTGCTGTCCCCAGGTGGGTTCCCAGGGCATGGAGGGCAGGGGGTGTGGAGGAGAAGCCAAACAGAACCCCTTCCCGGTGGGCTGGGAGGGGCAGAAGTGCCCACCCTCAGGAGACCCTGGTGCCTCTGACGGGGCCTCAGGGTGCCTGCCTGTCCCTCTGTCACCAGGAAGGAGGAAGCAGATCTGTCCCTGTCGGCTTTGTGGACCAGCTCTGCACAGGGCTTTGTTCATGTGCTGGGGAGACGCACAAACCACCCACCCGGGGAGCCTGGCACCCCCAGCCTCCCTCCCATCCTGCTGTCAGGGCCCCGAGCTGAGTGCCCAGCACAGGGCATCTGGGCCAGGCTGCCCCGAGTTTCCTCGGGGGTCTGAGTGGGGAGAGGAGACAGAGGCCCTGCCTGCCAGGGGCTGGAGTCTGGGGGCCACTCTGGCCAGCGGAATCCAGGAATTTGCCCCGGGAGTCACCTCCTGAGTGCAGGCAGGACCGGGCAGGGCTGGGCATGGCTGGGCACAGACATCCGTCCCCACCTGGCACAGTCCCCATGGTCCCTGCCTCCACTGACCCAGTTCCCAGACCTCCCTGGAGCTGTTTGCTCAGCTGCCCCGCCCCGCCCTGCCCCACCCAGCCTCACCCAGTATCACCGGGCGGGAGGTGCTGCCTCGGAGCGCGATGGGGTGCCTGGGCCTGCCCTGCTGGGAGCTCAGGTCGTGGGCATGCAGCTGCGGTCAGTCCAGTCCCCCTGGTCCCTGGCATGGGGGTCAGTGCTCCTCTCCTATGTCAGGACAGGGCCTCAGGCTGGGCACAGCGGCGTCAATAACTTGTGTTGAGTGGGCCAGGTCGATGGGAATCAGCAGGGATGCAGCTCGGGCTGGGAGAGGGAGGGGGGGAGGCTGACCCTTTGCCGGGCACTTGTCGATAGCTGGGCGCCCTCGGCTGCAGAGTGACGGGGGGACCATGAGTGTTTCTGGCTCAGAGGCCATGGGGCTGGCCTCGGGGTGAGAGAGCGAGGACGGGGCTGGGCGCCAGGTAGCTCCCCAGGGGGTGGGTCTGGTGGGTGGGGGACAGAGACCGTGGAGATGCCAATGGCTGTGAGGGGCGCCTCGCCTGGCCCCTGAGACCATCACTCTGCTCTCCCTAGAGCAGCCCCGAGCCAGGGCCGCCTGGTGGTCGGCTCTCCTGCAGGCCCCCACAGCCTGGGCCCCTTGCACCCTGCCTGAGCGGGGGAGGGGTCTCTGAGGCCGCCCCTCCTGGGTCGTCCCCCAGGAGCCTGATGCCGCGTACCCTGGACGGGCAGGTCACCATGGAGAAGACCCCCAGCTACTTCGTGACTCGCGAGGCCCCCCGTCGCATCCTCGGCATGTCGCCGGACACCAAGCTGATCGTGGTGGTGAGGAACCCCGTGACCCGGGCCATCTCCGACTACGCCCAGATGCTGTCCAAGACCCCAGGCCTGCCCAGCTTCCGCGCCCTGGTCTTCCGCCACGGCCTGGGCCCCGTGGACACGGCCTGGAGCGCCGTGCGCATCGGCCTCTACGCCCAGCACCTGGACAACTGGCTGCGTTACTTCCCGCTGTCCCACTTCCTGTTTGTCAGCGGCGAGCGCCTGGTCAGCGACCCGGCCGGGGAGGTGGGCCGCGTGCAGGACTTCCTGGGCCTCCGGAGGGTCGTCACGGACAAGCACTTCTACTTCAACGCCACCAAGGGCTTCCCCTGTCTCCAGACAGCCCAGGGGAACAGCCGCCCGCGCTGCCTGGGCAGATCCAAGGGCCGGCCCCACCCCCGGGTGCCGGAGGCCGTAGTCCGACGGCTGCGGGACTTCTACCGGCCCTTCAACCGCAAGTTCTACCAGATGACCGGCCACGACTTTGGCTGGGACTGAACGGAGCCTGGCCTGCCCTGCCCCTGGCGCCTGGCACTTCTGTGGGCACCTGCCGGGTGCAGAGAGGCGCCGTGCTTATGAAATAAAGCTGGGACCCAGTCCCTCGGCTTGGCCTTGAGGGCAGAAGGTGTGGCCGCCCTGACTGGGGCACATCTCCTCCCAGACCCGTCCCTCCTGCGCCCTCAGGGCCTGCCCACAGCTGAGCCCTCCTCTCCGCCTGGGAGGCCCCGGGCTGCCCTGTGCTGTGGGGCAGGACTACCGCTGGGTCTGTTCGTCTCGGGGCCCAGTGCACACTCCTTCCCGCAAGCCCCATGGGCGACTGGGGCGGATGTGGGGTGCATGCGAGCAGATCTAGTGCAGCCTGGCCTGCCCAGCCAGCCCCGCCCACACCAAGTTCTGCCGCATTCACCCTGTACTGCCCCCTGCTCCAGGGCTGGAAGGCCTGCCCAGCTGCAGCCCAGCTGCCTGTTGGTAACCCAGGCTGGGCAACTGGCTCCAGTGCCCCCCACCCCTCCCGGGGGAATGTGAGGCCCGGCCTCGGTGCCCCTCCTCCCCCGCCTCGGTAATGACTCTCACCTACTCCTGGCCTCGTACTGTCTGCCGGGTGCCCACCAGCTGCCCCGACAAGGCCCTCAGAGCCTGCGTGGGCCCAGGCCTGGGGCGCCAGGGCTGCCCAGGGCCTAACGTGGTCTCCGTGGCCCAGGTTGCTCCTGGGCTCTCTCGGCCTGGCCTTGGCCCTGATGTGACCTTTGTCTCTCTGAGCCCCTTGGAGCCACTCTCCATCCTGGGATCCAGGAACAGACAGCGAGGGAGCCCTTGGGGCTGCTTTTCTGAGCCCACCGGGTGGCCGCCAGTCTCCTCTGGATGCCCTGGGCACGGGGCTGGAGGCGGGGCCCAGGGCTCAGAGAGCAGACCCTGGAAGCGACAGCGGAGGGGGCGCCCTGGTGTCTCCGGCTCTCCGGCAGTGGAAGCTTGGCCCGAGCGGCCGTGCGTGGTGCACGCCGTCCAGCCGAGGGCAGATGCGGTGGGTCCTGTAGCTGCTGTGGGGGTGGGGCTCCCCGGAAGAGCCATGGCCTTCCATTTAACCCCAGACTGCTTCCCCGGCAGAGCCATGGCCTTCCATTTAACCCCAGATTGCTTCCCCGGCTGCCCCGTGGGTTTCCCATGGCGGGATGTTCCAGATGGGGAGAGACGTGCTGATTCAATTACCTTCTTCCTGTCTGCGCCTGGGACCCCTTTCCTGCCACTCCTACCCCAGTCAGGCTGGGAGGGGTCTGCAGGGGGGTGCTGCTTCCCAGGGAGGGGCTGGCGCTGGACCCGCCCCCCTCCTTGGGGCCACCCCCCGCCCCGTGCTGCCAGCGGCTGTCCTGCCCCTGCAAACCTGGAGGATTGAAGACCGACTCCCGGCAGCCCGTGGACACGGAAGCGCAGGTGCAGCCTGGTCCATCCCTACAGCACAGACGACCCGGCAGGGAAGCCATGATGTCTGACACCTGCTGCCGTGCTGATGAGCCCCGAAAACAGGGCGCTAAGGGAGGCCCGGCCTTGCACCCCAGAACCAGCGAGTGTGTAGACGGAAGCAAGCGGCGGTCGCCCGGGGCTGGGGCTGGGGGTCCCGGGGAGGACTGCTCAGTGGCTACAGGCGCTCCTTTTGGGGGCAAGAGAATGTTCTGGCATTGCAGAGGTGGGGTTTGCACAACATTGTGAGTGCGCTAAACGCTACAGGAACGTCCACCCTAAAATGGGTGACTTTGTGTGAATTCCAACATGGTTTTATTTCTTATTTTTACAGATTTATGTTATTCATTTGAAAGGCGGAGTTACGGGGCGGGAGAGAGAGAGAGAGAAATCTTCCATCGATGTTTCACTCCCCAGATGGCCACAATGACCAGGGCAGGGCCAGGCTGAAGCCAGGAGCCAGGAGCTTCTTCCCGGTCTCCCACGTGGGTGCAGGACCCTGGGGGTTGGGCCATCCTCCTCTGCTTTCCCAGCCACATTAGCAGGGAGCTCTATCGGAAGTGGAGTGGCCGGGACCCAAGCCAGTGCCCACATGGGACGGTGCGGTCCGTCGTGGGAGCCTCTGTTGGGTCTCGGGTGGCGTGAAGGCTCCTTCGAGGAAGGCAGGTGACTGTCACACGGTGCGGGGGCATCCAGGGAGCCTCTCCTGCGAGGGGTGAGGGGCAGCTCCACCCACAGTCCAGCTGTGCAGGTGGGGGCTGGGAGCAGGATCCGTTCCCGGCCTGAGGGTCTCCGAGTGTGGCTCCTTCGGTTCCTGCCCCAGCCGCGCCTCCTCACCTGCTCCATCAGCCCCCCGGCTCAACCTCCGAGGGCAGTGTCTGCAGGTCCCCAGCTCACACTTCCACTTCTCCAGTGGCCCTGGTGTCGCTCCCCCTCTTCGTGGAGGAACGACACAGGACCCTGCGCTGTTCTTTCGTCTGCTCGGCCCTCCCCGGGTTTGCTGCTGGTTCTTCCCGGGTTGGCTACTATCCCTTCCACCTCCGTGGAAGGGCAGTTCCCCCTGGCCACATTCCCCACTTCCGCAGGGGAGCGGCACACCGCCGGCCGGCTCTTCTCGGGGGCTGCACAGGTGTTCCTTCAGCTAGATGTTCCCCTTAGATGTTCCTCGTGCATGCCGTCTCTCTCCTCCTTTATAGTCCTCCTCCGCCAATCCCAACCCGGCTGCCCACACGCCGAGTACGCTGCTCTCCTCCAATCAGTAGCAGGTCCTACAGTTTATTGGCTGAACTGGAGGCAGCTGTGCGGAAGCTGTTTTCTCCTCTCCCAGCGCCATATAGTGGGAGAGCAGATGCATAGAATAAGTCTTAATTCCAGTAACTTAGTCTAGTCCGAGTTGCTCCCCACACCCTGGGCCCCCCGGAGGCTCAGCCCCGCCTGCCGGCTCTGCCCCAGTTCCCCGGCCTGCACTCAGCTGGGCAGATGCACCTTGCTTGCCTCTCCTCTCTGGGGCCACTGTCCCCAGCTGTCTGATGTCACAGCCAGTGCTTGGAAGCCACTGGGTTTTGCATGTTCTGTCTCCTTCAGGCGAAGGGGGTGTCTAGTTCTCGTTACTCCCTCTTTGCCCAAAGCACAGATTTTTTTTTTTTTTTTAAGATTTATTTGTGTATTTGAAAGTCAGAGTTAGGCATCCTTCATCTGCTATGTCACTCCTCAAATGGCTGCAACAGCTAGTGCTGGGCCAGGCCGAAGCCAGGAGCTTCACTGGGTCTCCTGCCTGGGTGCAGGGACCAGTTACTTGGGCCATCTTGCTCCGCCTTCCCAGGCACATTAGCAGGAGCTGGATTGGAAATGGAGCAGCTGGGACGTGAACCAGCGCCCATATTCGATGGCTGCTATGCACAGTGCCATCCCCCACCGCGCAGACTTTTATGTTAGAGAGAAATATGTGATTGTGTTGTGCTTTTAAATTGTAATGTTGGGGGCCGGCGCCGTGGCTCACTAGGCTAATCCTCCGCCTAGCGGCACCGGCACACCGGGTTCTAGTCCCGGTCGGGGCGCCGGATTCTGTCCCGGTTGCCCCTCTTCCAGGCCAGCCCTCTGCTGTGGCCAGGGAGTGCAGTGGAGGATGGCCCAGGTGCTTGGGCCCTGCACCCCATGGGAGGCCAGGAAAAGCACCTGGCTCCTGGCTCCTGCCATCGGATCAGCGCGGTGCGCCGGCCGCAGCGCGCTGGCCGCGGCGGCCATTAGAGGGTGAACCAACGGCAAAGGAAGACCTTTCTCTCTGTCTCTCTCTCTCACTGTCCACTCTGCCTGTCAAAAAAAAAAAATTGTAATGTTGGGGTCGGCACTGTGGCATAGCAGGTAAAGCCACTGTCTGCAGTGCCGGCATCCCACATGGGCGCCGGCTCGAGACCCAGCTGCTCCACTTCCTATCCAGCTCTCTGCTGTGGCCTGGGAAAGCAGGAGAAGATGGCCTGGGTCCTTGGGCCCTGCACCTGCGTGGGAGACCTGGAGGAAGCTCCTGGCTCCTGGCTTCGGATCAGTGCAGCTCTGGCCGTTGCGGCCATCTGGGGAGTAAACCAGCAGATGGGAGACTCTCTCTCTCTCTCTCTCTCTCTCTCTCTGTATGCCTTTGCCTCTGCCTCTCTGTAACTCTGCCTTTCAGATAAATAATTAAATCTTTAAAAAATTGCAACGTTAATTTTTAATCTGAGAGACAGAGACAGCTGCCCGTCCGCTGGTTCCCTCCCACAAGCCTGCCGTGGCCAGGGCTGAACTGATGCTGAGTCTGGGAGCAGGGGACGCCATCCAGGTCTCCCACACGGGTGGCAGGAACTCAGTGCCCAAAGTTACCTGCTGCCCCCAGAGTGAATTAGTGGGAAGCTGAAGTTAGAAGCCAAAGGCAGGTGTGAACCCAGCACTCTGTGAGCAGCACCGCCTCGGGCTGGGCCTTTGGTCCAGTAACTAAGCCCCAGGTGCGATGCCCACAGCCCATGTCGGAAGGCCTGGGTCTGAGCCCTAGCTACACCCCCCACGTGGTGGCTCAAGCAGTTAGGCCAGCAGCAAGGGGAGCGCTGAGGCCAGAGCCAGGCCTCCCAGGGAGGTGAGCAGGGCAGGGAGGTGGCGTGCGACAGGGGCAACCCTGGCTATCGGCCCTGGCCCGGGGTGACTGCTGTGCGCATTAGGTGAGATGGCTCGGAGGAGGTGCTGGGTGGCGGGGTGGGGGGTGGGGTCTCTAAGTAGCAGGTACCAGGCAGACAGACCCAGAGCCTCGGAAAACGCGCCTGGATGCCAGTGGGGCTGTTCTCTTCAGACGCCAGCCCGCGCCTCACCCCGGGGCACTCATCACGGACACACACCGTGCTCAGGCTGGTTCCGGGAACCAGGCTGCCGGGTCGCTGGCCGGGCATGTCCTGGGCACCCCAGCTCTGAGACCCCCCACCCTGGCAGAGGCCGTGAGTCCAGAAATGGCTGGAAGGATGAGATGGGGGCAAGCTGGCCTGAGGCCAGGTACTGGGGTCCTTGGACAGGTGCCAAGGTGGGCTGTGGGCAGGGCCTGGGGCCAGCAGCGAGACTGGATGGACAGCAGCCCACTGGGGCCAGAGGTGTCTAGGGGCGTCCTGTCCCCGAGCGTGGGGCCTCCCTCTTGAGAAACGAGGCGGCTCTAACCGCCCTCAGCAACAGGTCCTCCTCTGGGTTCCGGGTGGAATTCCTTTCATACTGCTTAATCCAAGCCACATTGCGCGCCCGTCTCGGCGGAAGGTCGTCAGTCAGCTAACGCAAAGCTGCTGCCGCGAGGATTCCAGACGCAAGCTTGCAGGGCAGCCCCAGGCCCTGCGCTCCCCGCGCCCTCGCCCCTCCCACGGCCAGACCTCAGCCCGCATCTGCCAGTATCACCTGTCCGGAGCTGGTTGGGAAGGGATCCTCGTGTGGGGGCTCTCGTGCGGTTGGGGTGCACACGGCCCGGGAGAAAACGAGGCTCAGGGTGAGGACCAGAGGCCAGGCACAGACGAGGCTGAGCCGCTAAGCTCGGGCCCTTGGCCCTCAGGGAGGGCGCCATGCGCTGGGCATGGGGTGTGTGTGGTGGTCGCACTGCCACTGCTAACCCGGTGTCCAGGGGGCTCGGTGCAGTGCCGGCATCTGGCGAATGCGCCACACTGTTCATGGGCCAGGGGGCTGTGCGGTCACCTGCACCTCCCAGGTGGGTAAGCTGAGGCTGAGGAGAGCACGTGTCCCCCGTAGCAGCCCTGACTCCCATCCTCATTGCCCTCTGTGGCGTGGGGGTCTGTGGTGGAGGAGGGGCAGAGGGTGGCCCCCGGGGCAGGCGTGGGAGGCAGAATTCTTTTTTTTTTTCTCTTGAGAGGTCTTCCATTGCTGGTTCACCCCCCAGGTGGCTCCAACAGCCAGAGCTGGGCCAGACTGTTGTCTAGGCCTCCCATATGGGTGCAGCGGCCCAAGTTCTTGGGCCATCCTCCGCCACTTCCCCGGGCCACAGCAGGGAGCTGGACACAAGCTAGTGCCCATGTAGGATGGCAGCGTCACAGGCGGTGGCTTGACCAGCTGTGCCACAGTGCTGGCCCCCAGCAGTGGAGGCAAGGTGGGATCTCCTGCAGTGGAGTTTAGAATGTCCTAGACAGGGGGGGTTGCCTGGTGTTGTGATTGTGTGAAATGCCACCGAATTGTTCTCTGTGAACGTTATGTGAGGCAGAGGGTGGACAGCTACCTGGTGGTCAGTCGGGGGAGCCACGTGGAGAGGAACCAAGAGCAGCAGTGGTCCTCGGCCAACAACCAGCAAGAGACCAGGGACCCTAGCAGCAAACACGCAAGGAAATGAATTTGGCCACAACACATGGGCCTGGGGGCAGACCCCAGCCCTGCGAGGTCGCCTGGGGAGACCCTCTGTGGAGGGCCCTGCTCCGTCGTGCCGGGCTCCCGGGCACAGACCATGAGGTCGCTCTAAGCGGCGAAATCTGCCGTGATTTGTTACCCAGCTGCAGAAACCATCGTGAGCCAGCCAGGGGGAATGTTCTGGAAGGGGCGGGCAGGGCTCCGACACGGCTTTTGTGCATCAGCGTCCGGACAGTGAGATGTGGAGAAGACTCCGGAAGCTCCACTCTTCACAGCAGCGGTTTCCACGCACGGGCCCACGGGGGTGGGCAGCTGTCCCAGCTCACCTGCCCCTCCCTGCCTCCCCAAAAGACCAGGAAGGCTGGCGCCTCTCCAGGCGAGGCCCAGTGGGCTTGGTCTGGTTTGTATTAAATATTGTAAGCTCAGTATTAATTCCTGCCAGAAGCAAACGTTTAGTCCTTGTCCTGTTAGAAACACAAGCGCTCCAAGACGCAAGTCCGAGATCCTGCAGGGCCCCCGTCCATGTGGCGGGGCGTGTGGTCAGCGGCCAGGTCGGCAGGCCGTGCGTGAGCTGCAGTGAGGAGCTCCAGGCCTCCTGCAGTGCCCTGGGGTCCACCCTGGTCGGGGGCTGTGCTGCCGCCTGGTGTGGGGGGAACCCGGGTCCCATGAGCTGCCCGATGTGACTCAAGCAGACCCCTCTCTTCAAGGCCCTGGTTCTCTGAGGGGGCCTCTCCCCCCAGCTCTGTCCATGAGTGCAGCTGGACGCTGCGGCCTGGTCCAGGCAGTCGGGACAGGAGGTCGGGGGAGCCGACCGCCCTCAGGGTCTGTGGAGTGTTGCGTGGTGCCCCAAATCCCTGCGCACCCAGAACTTGACCTAATGTGGGGATGGGGTCTTTGCAGATGCAGTGACTTAAGGCTCTAGGGGGGGCGCATACCCAGTGTCGGGCTCCCTGGGAAGATAAGTGGAGATTTGAGAGGGCAGGGGAGGGTGTGTGAGAAGGTGTAGAGCCTGGAGCCCCCAGCCCTCCCTGGAACCCGCAGCGGGAGCAGGGCCTCCGTGACCTCAGG